GGAGCTGGTACACTGACACCCCAGCTCTGACAGCGTGGTGTCACCAGAGAGCGCCCACAGGTGGCTGTGAGACTGTGCAGTGGAGCTGGTACACTGACACCCATCCTGAAATGTGCTCGTTCCTCTTTGTGCAGGAGGAGTTTGTGAAGTGGAAGGGCTCTCTGTTCTTCCGATTCGTCAGCACAATTACAGATTCACACCCAGACATCGCCAGGTAAACCTTTGCTCACCTGTAAGACAATGAACAATTTGCCTCAATTCTGGTATATATTTCCTTCAACTTGGTTTAGAGTTGAGTTATTTAAGATTTAGTGAGCTTTTGGTAGTTGCCAAGTAAGTGAGCAGATTTTTAAAATATTAAGCTACCTAACAAAGTTTTACTGTGTATATAAGTTTTACCCCCAAGCCCCATTCAGAGTCATCAATAAACCCTCTCAGCATTGGCTGCGTTTGCTAACAATGTTTGCTCTCCCTAAAGGAGGGATGAGGGACAGTGTATGTCTTTGTCCTATTAAATTAGATAGAATAGTAGCCACTAAATATTCATTCAACTGTGTAGATTCCTTGGCCAAATAAATGTGAATTTTGGTAAGAAGTTCAGGCTTTCTTTTAAGTGCAGAAATTGTAATGAAGAAATTCTAGGAATTAAGATGGCATTTCACAGTGTGAAACTGAGTATACCAATTACAAGGCTCCTTGGAAATCGGTATTTCTTGAGAATCAGATGAGAGGGGAGTTACTTGGCAACTATTAATTCTTATTCTTTTATTATTTTTTAAAGATTTATTTTCAAGGGATTAAGAAATGGTCTGATAGAATTTGCTACTCCGGATTATGTTAAATCAATAATACTCTTTAAAGCTAGTCTAGAGTTGGAAGATAGAATGTTGAATGCCATGTTTAAAGCCACCCCAGTGGGGAGAAGGTCTATATAAAGTTCATTAACTATAAATAGCAATAAATAATGGGTTCCTCTGGTTCTCAATATAGCTACAGTAATTTAGTCTGGGTTCCATGGAAGAATTTCTGCTCAGTTTTCTTTCAGTATAATTTCCCAAGGAGGAACACTTCACAAAACAAACTAGTAGAAGGTTAACGTTCTAATTAACACTGTCTACAGCTAGAAGCAAACAGCTAAGGCTGTCACTTTTTCTTTCCTTGCATAATTGGGAGAGGAACCAAGATAGCTGGCAACACCCTCTTCCCTTCGCCCTGCATGGGGTAGCACTGATTCTCAGGCCCCTCTTTATGCAATGCACAGCCCAGAGGTAGGCAGAATGACAAGTGCTTGGAAGGCACTCGCATGATGAACCCGGGGGTAAGATTGGTTATTTAACCTGCATTCTTCTCATTTCCCCCCACTTTTGTTAGCTGCTATAGATGTATTTTACAAAGAGCAATCATCAATGTATAAAATATATGCAGAACCTGTATGTGTGAGTGGTCAGGACATCAATCAGAAAGAAATTAGAAGGGCAGATAAGGAGATACTTTATTTTTTTTTTGTTATTGTTTGGAATTCATTAGGGTACAAAGAATTAGGTTACACTGATGGCATTTGTTAGGTAAAGTCCCTCCTATAATCATGTCCCACCCCCAAGATGTGTGCCATACACTGTAACCCCCCCATCGCCTTCCCTCCTGTCCTCGAAAGAGATACTTTACATTGTAATAAGATTATAAGCGTCCCTCTGGCATTTTAATACTTACCCCTTAAATCTTTCCATTTTATCTCTGCAATCTGGGTTTGTTAAAAAGCGTTGTTCAGGGTGGCGCCTGTGGCTCAGTGAGTAGGGCACCGGCCCCATATACCAAGGGTGGCAGGTTCAAACCCAGCCCCGGCCAAACTGCACCAAAAAAATATCCAGGCATTGTGGCGGGCACCTGTAGTTCCAGCTACTCAGGAGGCTGAGGCAAGAGAATCACCTAAGCTGAAGAGCTGGAGGTTGCTGTGAGCTGTGATGCCTCAGCTCTCTAATGAGGGCGACAAAGTGACTCTGTCTCAAAAAAAAAAAAGCACGGTTCAGATGTGGACCGTGATGACAAGGTGACTGCCTGTGCTGACTGTAATTTATGTCACTCTGCTCTGATTGCTTTCCCCTTTTATTTTTAGTTGACGTGTAATAATTGTACATATCTATGGAATACAGAGTAATATTTTGATACATACATGCAACATGTAAAGATCGAATCAAGTAATCAGCACATCTATCACATCGAACATTTACTGTTTCTTTGTGTGGGGGACATTCAAATTCCTCTCCTCTAGCTTTTTGAGAATATACAATAAGTTATTATTAACTATCTTACCCTCCAGTGCCATGGAGTGACGGAATTTATTCCTCCCATCTAGCTGTCATTTTGTAGCTTTTACATCCTCCCATCACCCAAATCTTCTCAGCCTCTGATGACCACAGCTCTGCTCTCTATTTCTACGACCTCATCTTTTTTTTTTAGTGCCTGCGTATTCGTGAGAACCCGTGGTATTCATCCTTCTCTGCCTGATTTGCTCTCTGACATTTTACACCAAAGGCTCAGCCTGTCTGCTTACATTAAATACATTAATATGCATCAGTCTTAAGTATCTGCTAATGCAGATCTTCAAAGAGACTAGAGTGGCTCTTTTTTGGTCCTGTTGGGTTTCCTGAAGATTCTGGCCTGAGCAAGTGATTCTCCCACCTCAGCCTCCCAAAGTGCTAGGATTACAGGTGTGTACACAACCTGTATGACATTTTTTTTTTTTTTGAGACAGAGTCTTAAGCTGTTGCCCTGGGTAGAGTGCTGTGGTGTCACAGCTCACAGCAACCTTAAACTCTTTGGTTTAAGTGAGTCTCTTGCCTCAGCCTCCCAAGTAGCTGGGACTACAGGCACCTGCCACAACACAGAACTATTTTTTTGTTAGTTGTCATTGTTATTTGGCAGGCCCAGGCTGGGTTCAAACCCACCAGCCCTGGTATATATGGCCGGTGCCCTAACCACTGAGCTACAGACACCAAGCCACAAGCTGAATTCTTGTTTGTTTCTTTGGGGAGTGTTTTTTATTTGAGGGTTTTCTCCATTCCTTTACAGACAGTTTACACAGTAGCCCTTGTTTAGAAGGAACTTCATTTCATGTTGAAATACTGTCTTTCAAACCTGGGTTGCTAAACAACACAGTTTGTAAAAATAACATTGACTATTATTATTATTATTTAGAGACAGTCTCATTTTGTAGCCCTTGTAGAGTGCCATGGCATCACAGCTCACAGCAACCTCCAGCTCATGGGCTTAGGTGATTCTCTTGCCTCAGCCTCCTAAGTAGCTGGGACTACAGGCACTTGCCACAACGCTCAGCTATTTTTTGTTGCAGTTTGGCCAGGGTCAGGTTCGAAACCGCCACCTTCAGTATATGGGGCCGGCGCCCTACACACTGAGCCACAGGCACCACCCAACATTGACTATTACTAAATAAGTCTTCTAGCTGTTCTTAAGTGAATTTTCCCTCAGGGAATTCCATTCTGCTAAGTAGAGTTTTACTTGTTTTCATTTCTGAGTCAGACTGCCCCTTATTTTCTAGGTAAATAGTCAAAGTGTGATTGTGTGCAGTGACATGTCGATCTAGGCTTCTTCCGTCGTGATTCCTCAGCTGCTGCCTCTGACTTTGGTTGCTGTGTATGCTCTGAACACAAACTGATTGGGACCTCAGCCTAAGGAACATCCCACGGGAGGGGGCGTGTCCATCTCCCGTAAAGTCCTAATGTGCTCCAGAGCCTCCTGTGTAGCCACAGGGACAATGGAGAGCTGACTGGTGCTCCTGTGTGGGTGGAAGCTGCATCTGAGCCCTGAAGTGAGGTTAAAACGTTGGTCTCAACTGTGTGAATGGCCCACAGTGAGCCCCGTGCTACCTCTGGTTGACCCCTCAGCCCAAACCAGCACTTTGGCTTTCCCTCACCTGCTGTCATGATGAAACAGAAACTGTCCCGTAGCTATAGTTGAACTATTTGGCTTTTGTCTCTCTACATTTGGCTTTGAAACCTTCATTTGGGGGCCAGAGGCGTCTGTACCCCAGCCTCATGTGGGGTCAAGTGCCCAGGGCTCACTGAGAGTCCGTCTCTGGGATGAGGATCCTTGCCCTACTGATCCAGACAGACAGGCTCTTGCCATTAGAAAAAAGTGATGTCTGTTCATTATTGTGGACAGTGAACTTGAAGTTGGGGGATGAAGGCTAGAGTCTCTCCAGTGACCATTGTCGTTGCATCAGCCTTAAAGAGACTGGCCCCTGCTTGAAAAAGCAGTTTGGGGTAGGTTGGTTGGGTTTTCCCTCTTGAAGTACAGCTGGATAACAACACCTTACATGAATTTTGAAAGGAAACCTGGTGGAGAAAGCCTTCGCACTAACCTTGTGTTCAAAAGGAAGCTGTGGAGTTAGGACAGACCACATGGGCTGGATGTGTCTCCAGCTTCTGATCTGATGGAGCTGTTCCTAGGGATGGACTTAGGAGCCCTGTCCGTGCTGTACGGCTCTCTTCTGTATTTACAGAGCTCCTGGTGTATTCAGAAGCTGTTGGCAAACTTTCGTTTCTCCCTCCCTTGCAGTTTTGGGGAGTTCTGCCTGGCTCATCTCTTACTGAAGAGGAATCCTGTCATGTTTTTCCAGCACTTCATCGAGTGTATTTTCCACTTCAACAACTATGAGAAGCATGAGAAGTATAACAAGTTCCCCCAGTCAGAGAGGTCAGTGAAACCACATGGGTGGTCTCGGGGAAGGAGGGGGGGAGCCAGGAGAGGGCCGGCTGGCTGCTCTGTACCTAGTAGTTGGACCCAGACCCCGGCCCAGGTATTTACGGTGGTCATTATTTTCCTTGGCAGGACAACGAAGGACAGTGTACTCCTGGGGATAGTGTGTGGTGATCACTGGGATCTCAGCAGTGGGCTGAGTGTTTGGCATGCAGCTTTTAGGATGCTGTTAAAATGCTGTAAGTCCTTGTCACCCATGACCAGGTGACGCAGTAAAATTGTCCTTTCTGCCACAGAGAGAAGCAGCTGTTTTCACTGAAGGGAAAGTCAAACAGAGAGAGACGAATGAGAATCTACAAATTTCTTCTAGAGCACTTCACTGACGAACAGCGATTCAATATGACTTCCAAAATCTGCCTTAGTATTCTGGGTAGGCCTGGTGGGTTTGGGATAAAATGCGTGCTGTAAGATGCAAATGCTGTGCTTGGGGTTTTGTTTTTATTTTTTTGAGATATAGTCTCACGCTTTTGCCCTGGGTATAGTACTCTACTGTAACAACCTCAAACTCCTAGGTTCAAGTAATCCTCCTCCCTGAGCCTCCTGAGCAGCCAGGACTACAGGCACCCACCACAACACCTGGCTATATTTTTAGAGATGGGGTCTCACTCTTGCTCGAGCTGGTCTCAAACTCCTGAGCTCAGGCAATCCAGCCACCTCGGCCTCCCAGAGTGCTAGGGTTATAGGTCTGAGCCAACACCGCACCTGGTCTCAATGCTGTGTTGATAATGGCCTGGCAGGTCTACGACACTGACAGGAAGACCCCTGTCATCTTGTTCTGGTTCGCCATGGGCTATGCCTAGGCAGCCCCACACACCCCGCAGCCCAGCTGGCCCTGGCCCTGTGAACCGCACTCTCCCCTGGGCGGAGTCTCTCCTGATCCTGTGCTCTCTCTCAGCGTGCTTTGCCGACGGCGTACTGCCCCTGGACCTGGACGCCAGTGAGTTACTCTCGGACACGTTTGACGTCCTCAGCTCAAAGGAGATCAAGCTTTTGGCAATGAGGTCCAAACCAGATAAGGAGCTCCTCATAGAAGAAGATGACATGGCCTTGGCAAACGCCGTCATGCAGGAAGCCCAGAAGAAACTCATCTCACAAGTAAGTGTGTGTTCTTCCCTAAAGAGGCCTCCTCACACCCGTGCTTCCCATCTGCCCCCAAATCTTGGTGATACTCCCCAGATCCTGATTTCATTCTTGGTGGTGGCTCTAACTCTCGTCCAGGTAGTAATGGTTCTCACATCTGTGTTTCCAACTGCACCTTCTCTCTGAGCCCGACCCCAGTTCTGCTTGCTGCCGGGATGTGCCCCGACTTACTTACTCTGTCAAAGCTGAATCAATCCTCCCTTCCTCCTGCTGCTCACCTCTCCCTTCTCCTACAGTTGGTTCTAAAGAAGGGAACTGTTACCTACAGGTTACCCAGAGGGAGCCTGGTGCCGCTGCAGACGGGAGTCTGGTGTGCCAGGCTGGGTTCTGTTGGACCTGAACGACTCTGTGGGGCAGCTCTGTCGCCATGGTGTTCCCAGAGTGTTCTCAGGCCTGGCCTGGATCGCCGATTTAAATTTCACAACCCCTGCCCCCAGGAAGCTTTGACCCCAGCTCTGTGCCTGGGACTGAGAAGGTGTTGATGACACTTGAGTGAACGCATTTAAGCCACTTCTTCAGACCGTCCCTAAAGTACCATGTGCTCCAGTTTAATTTCATTAAACTGTTTTTCTCTCTTATTCCCCTCCTGTTTCAGAAGCTCTGATAAGACTTTTTAGAAATAAGAGAGAAGCATACCCATGACTTTAAATGAGAAGAAAGAGCACTTTCAGCTTCAGAAGGATAAACATGTATGCTACTATATAATGAACTGTTTTTAATTCTCAGAGATCTATTACAAAAATATTTGTGGTTAATGATCATTCAAGGTAAAGATTTTAAAGACTTGGCCAAATTAGGTACTGCTTAATACATAGCACTTCCTAAATTTGTGCAAATTTCCACACAGAGATCCAAAAGAGAAGGAAAGCTGGCTGTCTTCATGCCTAGCTGTTGTTAGACTATTGTCCTTTCACCAGCAGGAACACACAGTGCCTCCGTGGGCAGCCAAAATGACCTGGTTTTCATTCCAAAAGGAAGGATGTTGAACAGAGGGACTGAATCTGGAGCTAGAGCCAGAGGTTCCTGATGGGTTTGTGTGGAGATACAGAGCTTCTTGCTAAATTACTTAACATATTTCTGATTCCTTTTGCTCTATTGGAAAACATGAGTTGTATTTATCCTGCCCTACTTGACAAAGCCTTCTGAGTGTTTTGAGGTGATGCTTATAAAGTCTTCTGGGAAAAAGGCAGGGGGTCTTACATACTCTCAGTATCCTAATCAGAAACGAAAAATAAACTTAATATAGTATGCTAGATTGGCTCTACCAAAAGAACTAGATCAAGGAAGAGTCTGCCTTTCAGAAGTTTTTACATCTAAGACGTGCCTTTGTTTGTGTTGCCGCAGGTTCAAAAGAGGAATTTCATAGAAAATATTATTCCAATTATCATCTCCCTGAAGACTGTGCTGGAGAAAAATAAGATCCCAGCCTTGCGGGAACTCATGAACTATCTCAGGGTAAGATTGAGCTTGTGCTTGTGGGGTCATTGTCCCCGTGCAGCTGGGTCACTGAGATCTTCTGCCAGTTGTGATGGTTCAGACGGTCAGAGAGTGACAAGTCCAAGGCTATGAACCCAGCATTGCCTGGGTCTGTAAAGGGATGCCTGCCAGACAGGCCTGTGACTTTGGGGGGGAGATGGGGAGTTTGTCCCTGGGTCCCCCTGAAGTCACCCTCCTCTTTTCCACGCAGTTGGGCTTGTGCAGAGCTGACCCATCGTGAGGGCCAGGCATGTGTTTGGTGGGGTTAGATTCTGCAGTGAGGACCTTCTCAGCTGGGATCAGAGCAGAGCCATCATTGTAGATCATCCTGGGGAGGAGTGAAGAGAAAGTTGTCATAATATTTAATTTGGTCCATGACACAGTCTCGTAACAGATGCTCCATCACGACGGCCTTGGGATCTGCCACTTGTGCACAGGCCCGTGAGGAGGCCTGGTCTGGGCAAAGCCAGCATGTGCCGTCCTAAGCGCAGAACCAAGGGAGGCCGCCCACCTTTCTGTAAAACCTTCCACTCAGAAATAAATGCAACTGGTTTTTTTTTCCCTTTAATCCATCAGAGTTATTTCTCTGTTCACATTATGTAGGGTTTTTCCTTTAAAAATACCATGAATTCTTTCCCCAAAACAGCTACAACAAAAGTATCGAGTATAGTTTTTCAAATAGCTTTTATCTTCATAAGCTAAGGTGGAAAAGATAGTATGGCAAAAACAAGAATTTTCTATTATTCTTATATTTCTATTGCCCTGTTTCAGACCTCAGAAAGGAAGATGAAGAGCTTAGATCCTAACTAGACTACTTAAACATTTAGGAGAAAGAAATCTTTCTCTTGTCTCTGGGCACTTACCCAAGGGATGGCCACAGGGTTGTTTGATATCAGTAGTACAGTGATTCTCTTCTCTGGCCTCTGGAACCCACTTCAGGTGGCAGCCAGAAGAGTTGATGGATTTCTTTCTCTTTGCTGGGACTTGCCTCCTAGCTGGAGCTGCAAAAGGTATCTTTCTCCTTCTAATACTGTTAGGTAGAATAGTTTCTTTTTCTTAGCCAAGTGGCCTTATCCCTAGCAAACCTCTTCAAGACCTAAGAACGTTCCTACCCAGATATGATAAAGGATTTTCTAGAAAATCTTCAGAAGAGACACAGAAATGGGATTATAGCATTCGAGCCTCTGGGGAAAGCTACTAAAGGCAGATGAACAGCTTTCAGACTGCGCTGCTTCCTGGGATTCCCTCCAGAAGCCGTGTCTGAGCCAGGAGATAGGAGATTGCCTGTTAACTGACAGGCATGTGGGGAGCTTGCCAAGAGATCAGAACTCGTGCTTGGTAGCTCAGTCACGTTCACCTCCTTCTGTGGTCATCGTAAGTGTGGTCACCATTTCCTTTGAATAAACATTGTACCTATTAGTTAACGTCATGTAGATGGTCCGCTTTCAGCAATATAAATTGTGACTTGCTTATGATGTGCAAAAATTCCATTCCAAAAAAAGTGTTGACCAGGCATGGTGGCTCACACCTATTATCCTAGCACTCTGGGAGGCCAAGGCAGGTGGATTGCCTGAGCTCAGGAGTTTGAAACCAGCCTGAGCAAGAGCAAGACCCCATGTCTCAAACTAGGCTGGCATTGTGGCAGGCGCCTATAGTCCCCGCTACTTGGGAGGCTGAAACAAGAGAATCGCTTGAGCCCAAGAGTTTGAGGTTGCTGTGAGCTGTGGTGACATGGCACTCTACTGAGGGTGACAAAGTGAGACTGTATGCCCCCAAAAATACAAAAAACAAAAAATGTGTTAAACAGAGAAAGGGGACCACTTGTACAGTGTTGGTGGGAGTGTGAAGTAGCACAGCCACTATGAAGAACAGTAATGATAAACAATTATAAATAATTTGTTCCATTAGTATTTATCAAGTCACGTTGGAGAATTTATGTTTTTATTCAAGAAAATATTAAAGGATGCTTCTGGGTCTGTTTCAGGAGGTGATGCAGGATTACCGAGATGAAGTCAAAGATTTCTTTGCAGTTGACAAACAGCTGGCATCAGAACTGGAGTACGACCTCAAGAAGTACAGCGAACAGCTAGCCCAGGAGCAAGAGCTGGCCAAGCAGGCAGATGTGAGCAGGGCAGCGGAGGGCGCCGACGCGGCAGCGCCAGTGCAGGTAGATGCGAAGGCTGCCCGCGGCTGGACTAGACTCTCAGTCTGCCCTCCCCTGTCCATCTGCCCACCATTTCTCAAACTCACATGTGATCAGAGGTTGGTCAGAGCGAGACCTTCAGGAGTGCTGGTGGCCATTTCCATGTGCCTTTGTTCTAAGCGACAAATACACTGATAGCTCACGGCCTCCCTTCCCACAGGGCTGCGGTACAGGAGTCTATCTGGAAAATCATTGTAATGATAGACGGCAGAATCGTAGGAGTTTGAGAAAGCAAGCTGGCAGGAGGGCCCTGTGGTCTGTAGATGCCTGGATCCACCTGGTGTCAGTTTGCCATCGGTCTCCTAGCACAGCCCTCTGCGGAGCAGGTCCTCCCAGAGGTGTTGCCGGGCTTCGCTGCTGCTCCTGGTCAGAAGCACAATGATCCCACCACCCTGAGACGTCCAGACAGATCGGTATTAAAATGTGATGAAGACCAACTAAATTATTCCTTTTTCTCTTCATGCCACACGGCTACAGTTGGCAGTTTGCTAACAGTATTCTCCTTTTTAAGAGGAAATTCTACTTGCCCAGGGCTGATAGAGTTTTAAAATAGATTGCTTATGGACTTGCTCACAGCAAGTGAAGATTACATTCCAAAGAAAGTGCTAACCAGAGAAAGGGGGACACTTGTACGCTGTTGCGGGGAATGTGCAGAAGCACAGCCACTACAGAGGGAAGGAGGGGGGTTCCTCAGAAAACCGAAAATAGAACCTCATGTGATGCAGCAGTCCCATTACTGGGGATGTATCCAAGGGAAGGAAACCAGTTTATCAGAGAGGCACCGGCACCAGCACCGTTCATAATAACCATGGAAGAACCCGAACGTCCATCAGCAAATGAGTGGATTGTGCCCAGTGGAATATTATTCAGCCATTAAAAAAAATGAAATCCTGCCACTTGGTACAACTTGGATGAATGTAGAGGTTGTGTTAAATGAAATAAGCCAGACACAGAAAGATAAAAACCACATGTGCTCACTCCCAGGTGGGAGCTGGAGAAGTGGTTCTCATGGTAGTTACCGAGGGCTAGGAAGGGTGAGGGCGGGAAGAGAATCTAGAGGTGAATAGTACAGGGAGGCCGTTATCAGTAGCAATCATCTATTGTGTATTTCAAAACATCCAGAAGAAAAGAATTGGAATGTTCCCAACACAAAGAAAAGATACATGTTTGAGATGTTGGCTGTGCTAGTTATCCTGGCCTGATGATTACATGTTAGGCGTGTTTCAGAATATCCCCTGAACCCCAAAACATGCACAGCTATTTCACATTAATCTTTTCACCTTAAAAAAAAAATGTGTTAGAAGGTAAAAACTCTGTATCTTCTCTGACAGGTTGCTCCATGTTTAGATCCTGCCGGCCAAGGAAATCCTGCCATGGCCCCTGCTGTGAGCCAGCCCTCACTGCCTGGGCCAAGCACCGGCCAGGCACCGCCTTTGACTCCTGCACCTGAAACCAGACCATCGAACAAGTTGATGCCCAAGGCCAGGTAGAGGGTCACAGAGTCTGTGATGGGGCGGATTCTCTGGGGTGGTGTTTTCAGAGCCAGCTTTGATGTCCCAACCAGACGGAGGCAGGAGAGTGTCATCACTGTGCCTGTGCCTGTCCTGCGGCCTCTTTGTACAGTCCCTACCCCACCCCCCAGGAGGTTGGAATGCACGTGGCTGAGGGATGCGCTTGCACAGAAGTGGGTGAGGACTGCAGGGAGAACCTCAGTGTCCCTGCATGTCCTCTCCCTCCGCAGGACCATGTCCCTGAGCACCATCGCCATCCTGAACTCCGTCAAGAAAGCCGTGGAGTCCAGTAGCAAGCGTCATAGACGGAGCCTGAGCGTGCTGCCTTTCACTCTGAGTTCTGGAAGCCCAGAAAAAACAAGCAACCAGGGTAAGAAAACAATATTAATCAAGCAATTAGGGTAATGGAACGATGTTTAATTCAATTTGTGCGGTCCGGAAATGTGTACCTCACACACAGTAGTCAGGCGCTCTGTCCTCCTGCGTGGTCCTCACACATTTTGTTTACTTAAAAAAAAACATGATCTTTGCACTGTCTTATGGCTTGCTTCTCTACACACACAACAGGACACAGTGGAGATTTCTCCATGAAATTTTCTGTCCGAGCTTCACTGCCGCCGGCGCTCCAGCATCCAATCTGTGGAGACAACAGTGCTTACTTCCTACTCCTCTGTTCTTGGAAACACTGGTGTTTCTCAGTGTTTTTTTAACAATCCTAAACTAGAGACAGATCAACTTTTTAATATAAGTAACGTTGCTGTAAACGTCTTTGTATGTATACCCTGGTATGTGTGTGAGCCTTAGGACCAATTCCCAGCAGTCGAAGGCCATGAATACTTTTTAAGCTTTGACAGTGTCAAACTGTCCTCCGTAACTTGTGCCAAATTTTCCTCCTGGGGGAGTGTCTGTTTGCTTACTTAGAAACACTGGTTTGGGGGAGGGGAGGGTGATTGGTGGGACCACACATATGGTTCATCTTACAAGGGTTCATGCAAATCTTTCTAAATGTAGAATATAAATGTCTTAACACACTAACTAAGAAAATGCCATGAAGGCTGTGTTAACCAGTTTGATGAAAATATTTCAAATTGTATATAAAACCAGCACACTGTACCCCATGACTGCATTAATGCACACAGCTATGATTTAATAAAAAAGAAAGAAAGAAAAGAAAATGGTAGGGTTATGGACAAAAAAAAAAAAAAGAAAATTTCCCATTGTCTTTGCTGAGCATTATAGACCAAAACTGGTAGGGTTTTAATTTTTTTTTTTTATCTAAATGAGAACAGACTTGACTTACCTTAAATTTTCATTGATTTGTATTTCTTTCTCAAGTGCCTTTTTATAAGACTACTTTGAACATGGGGGATGTTAACTTTATCATGTGTTTTGTAAATTTTTCTTTTGGTCACTTTGTTCTTTGATACTGCTTTGAATTTTTTTGACAGATAACACTTTTTTTGTTTTATCCCAGCATCTTCATACAGCTTGGAGCGAGAGTCCAACAGGGCCATTAACCACACAGCGAAACGGGCAATCAGCACCCCCAACAGTAAGTAACTGACTTCCCTACATCGGCTTGTCTCTATTTGCTGGAGTTGTACTGAACCCTGCCTGTTGTAAGGTGGCTCTTTGAACTGGAGAAGGCCCCCCCGGTGGTCAGCAGCATGGTGGTGCATCGCAGGTAGTCAGACCTGAAATCCCTGTGATTTCTGAGGGATCATAATAGCTTCATCAGTTGAGGACTCACTGAATATCAAGCACTCTTCGTGCTTGGATACATTAACTCAGCTAAATGTCATGTGAGAGACCTATTCACTCAGCTAAATGTCATGTGAGAGACCTTCACATGACAGGTGGTGATGCTGAGGCACAAAGAAGGTAGGTTAGCAGCCTGGACAGTACGCACAGAGGCAGCCCCCTCACTGCCCCGCTGCTGTCCAGCCGCCCCCAGTGCTCCGGAGGCAGCTCTGCTCTGGCAGATGTCGGCACTAGCACCTCTGTTTCAAAATACAGATGAGTTAGACAGGCAAAATATTTTCTCCCATTATTTTGTTATATAGCTCCTTGTCCCAAATCCTGTGAAAACCATTATTTTGAGAAAATTATTGTAGTCTGAAGAAATTCTTAGCCAGGTCTGGTAGCTAAGCTTGGCATAGCCCCATACGCTCAAAAGGCTATGGCGGGAGGATGTCTTGCCACCCGCAGTAGAAGGCTGGCCTGGGGAACATAGCAAGACTTCCTTCCTTAAGAAAAAGAAAGAAATTCCTGTAGTCCCAAATCTGCAGTGCAGTTTACAAGACCCTGCCCGGTGCGTGCCTGTGTGCCCCGTACTCTCCACCCCAGCCATGTCCCAGTGCCAGCAGCCCACCAGGCTCTTCTTTGACCCGGCCCTCACACCACACCCTCGTCCAAATTGTCCCCTTGTGGGACCTCCAGGCCAGGGCAGGTGCCCCTCCCGTGGCTGTGATCCTCTCTAGCACTCACCACACCCTGCTTTCGTTGTCTGCCCTGGCTCTTCTCCCACTTCTCCACAGGGCCTGCCCCAGTGTCTGGAACCTGTCGGGTGGTGAACTGGATGGCAGAGCTGGGAGCTGAGCTCAGGCCCCTGGTCCCACCTCTGTGCCCCTTCCCAGCCTCTGTCCAGTCCTGATGTGGGGCATTCGGGGATGGGACAGTGTAGGGTGTCCCCGCAGTAACAAGCCTCAAGGTAGCAAATCTCCATTCAGTTGCACTTGGCCGTTCCTTTTACTGAGTGCCTGCTGTGTTGTAGCTGCTGGCTTACGGGTTGTTACCTGTGCTGCTGTGACCCTGCAGAACATGTAATGGATTGCATGATTGTCATCCAGGAATTCCTTTTAAAGGAGATTGTCCCACCACCCCCTCCCTGGATGACAACTAAAAGTCATGACAGCTTTGTCACTAAAGGCAGGGGTAATTTAGAGGACCTGTACATTGAACAGATGCAATGTCACATATGTAAAAATTCAGCCTCTTTCACACAGAAGAGCTGCTGTGTGTTCTGTGTCCCTGTCAGCAGCACCAGGTGCTACTGTTCTGGCAGTTGGGGACCAGAGAATGAAGAGGTGGGAAGAATGCCCCTCGTTTGAATTTCACTCATACAATGAGTCCCTGATCTCAGTCCTGGCTAGAAGCCTTTGTCCCTCTGTCTCATTTGCATGTGTGAAGCCACCTTTGCCCTGAACACGGGGCTCTCAGGTGTCCTGGGGCCAGCAGAGGATGCCCCTTCCCCAGCCTTGACCCTAGCGATGCTGTTTCTGTCCATCTCTCTGTCTGCTGAACCAGGAAGACATGCTTGAGGAAGGGTCTCCTGTTAGCTCTCCTCGGAAGAATTATTAGATAACTCAAAAGCACTCAGTTCTGCTTTCTTTATAGTTTATAAATACAGATTTTTATGACAACTCTAAGTTTAAATGGGGGTGACTGTCAGGAAGTATCTCAACTTTTCAGAGCACACCAGTGGCTCACGGATAGTGTTCAACAGAGACAAAGTGGTTTTGCTAAGTGGAATGAACTAAAATCAGAACTAAGATGTTAACTGAAAGTCTTTGGGGGCTTTTAGCGGGTACCTCTTACTGCTGTAATCCAGGCAGCAACGATGCCTGTGCCTTTGATTCTAAGCACAGTGCACGGGGATCTAGCAGCCATGACACAGGGGCTTTTCCAGAGTGGGAGACTTCCCTCTGGAGTGCTGCCAGGCTTCCAGACAGGAAGAGCAATGTGTGAGTAAGGAAAGGGAATTTCTAATGACAGCACGAGGCAAGGCCTCCCGGGAACAGGAATGAGCAGAACCGAGCTGTTTGTCACGGCAGTGGGAGGAGAGACTCCTCTGCTGGGGAGCAGCTGTCAGGTGTGCGGTGCTGCGCTGCCGTGATGAGCTTCCCCACGCAGACAGGAAGGTACAGCCTGTACTCACAGGCAGGTCAAGTGTGAGGGCCTCCCTGTCCTGCCCACACTCAAGGAAGAACTCTGAGGCTCAATTCACAGAAAAGACAGCAGGCTCTGGGCACGTGCTCTGCTCCTGAGATGGAAGCTTGTACAAAGGTACAGCCCCAGAGGGGCAGGGCTGCACAGCGCTCTCAAAGCCACAGTGGGGTGCAGTCAGTTGGGGGAGGCAGAGAAGCTGAGTGTGCAGACACAGGGTGACAGGAGAGGTCTGCTCAGCCCCTGGGACAGGGGAGCATGGGGATCAGGGCCCGTGTGCGGGTGTATCCGGTGAGTCTGTACAGGTAGCTTGGGACCAGCTCAGAATGAAGGTGGGTTTTAGGCTTGCCTTGAACATGGAGCTCTCAAAATACCTAAGCAGGGCAGTGACGTTACCAGCTTCTTGATTAACCTGACTCCAGTGACGCAGGGGATAATAGCTGCTAAATCACAGGAGGCCCTGGCATTTCTTCAGCACTCTGTTTGCTCTGCCAGGTGCCGTGTTACCCCTTACATGATAATCCTGTTCACTGCTGACAAGCTCCCTGTGCGGGAGGTGCGTTTTCCCCATTTATGAGGCGAGGGGCCTTGAGGTTAAAGAAGCTCACACGACCAGTAAGACACAGAGCCCGAACTCCCAGCCTGTCTGCTCTGCAGTCTGTGTCCCTGACACCCGCTCTCCTGCCTTGAGTGTGGGCAGGACGGGGAGGCCCTGGGAGGACAGCACCTCAGAATTTCAAGGGCTAGGGGTCAGAGGCAGGGTGACAGGGAACAGGATGGAGACGCTTGGGAGGTAGAACTGACAGGACTCGCTTACTGACGTCATGGGGAGGAGTAGGCTTGATGCCGTATTTCGAGCTAGGACGGCCCACTTGGCAGCTGGGAATGTAGAAGGAACATGTCATGGAGGGGAGGCCATGAGCTGGGGGGGTGTCTTCAGGAGAGCCAGGGGAGCATGCTAGCAAGCGTGACTGGGACTCGGGAGGGAGGGCTGAGGAGCTGGCAGCTGCTGGGCAGCACATGACAGTCACCGAAGTCATGGGGTTGGGGAGGAGCCAGAGATGGGGACCAGTGAAGCAGCCACGGGAGGGCCCTGGGGAGAGAAAGGAAGTTAGGAGAGACGGAAGGGAGAATTCCCAGGAGGAAGGCCGGAAGGCCGTCACTGGGATACCGCAGATGAGCAGTAAAGCAGAAACCTCTGACCACTCCGTGGCTGTCCGCTGCCTGTCTCCTGCCAGCTTCTACCTAACAGTGGTGTTCCCTTTACCCAGATACCATCAGCGACGTCACGTTTGGAGCAGGAGTCAGTTACATAGGGAGCCCACAGACCCCTTCAGTCAAAGGTAAGATCTCAGTTTCCTTCTAGACTGATAGCTTAGCTGCCTGAGGTTCTGGGGAGACTGAATTTGTATCTGACTCCCTTCCAGAGAAAACTGAAGTCCAGAGTCAAGGAAATGACATTTTATGTTTATCGTTGCCTGATAAGTCGTAAGTTTACCAAAGAATTCATTTTGAGGTGGCCATTTTTGTCAGGGTTAATGTTTTAGTTCCAGAATGACTGTGCCTTGTGTTTCCTAGGCCTCCACAGCCTCCGCAGTGGAATGTGAAGTCTCCAGCCAGGAATAAAAATACCCCAACCCCCAGCAGGAGATCCCTCCGAAAGACCCCCCTGAAGACAGCCAACTGAAGCGGTACATTCCAGCAGGTGTCTAGAGACTGCCAGGGCCCTGGAAGAAACACTTCTGTTTCCTACACTTGAAAAGGCAGATGGGTCCCTTTCTGTGCCCCTGGAGTGCCGTGCTATTGTAGATACCAAAGCTCTTCCTCAGGATCCCAGCACTCCAGTTGCTCTCCTTGTCTCCTTTTATATTGCTCTGTTACATCTGTAGTTACAAATCATAAAAGAGAAAGGCCAGATTTAGATTTTCTTATCCTAAACCTAACCTATTTAATATTATAACTTTATGGGGCAGTGCCTATGGCTCAAAGGAGTAGGGCACCGGCCCCATTTGCCGGAGGTGGTGGGTTCAAACCCAGCCCCGGCCAAAAACTGCAAAAAAAAAAAAATTTTAACTTTATTCCCTTTGAAAGTGTCATGTCATTCAGATAAGCTATTATCTGGTCTTTATGGAAGACAACTTAAAAACTCCAGCCTTCTTTTCTAAGCCAAGTCTCTATTAAGTATTTTCCCATATCTAATGACAGAATTTAGATTGTAGTATCTTTTCCATTATTTATAACTGCAGATTTTTTTTAAAAATGTACAGCTTTCTAAAATGAATAAAAATTAGCACAAATACAGCCTGCCGGTATTCAATAGTATCTTTCTATGTTTACAACAGCACTTTTATAGTGGTCATATCGGAATATGGAAGTTTATAAAGTGGTGAGGAAGAAGGAAACTAAAGCTGCCCTATTAGGAAAAAAATGGTTCATCTGCCCACCTGCCTCCTAGTAACACATCCTTGTTAGTTCAGAAGCAATCGTGTGTCCCTTCTCCAGAGTGGCCCTGATGCTGATTTGGGCTCGACAGTGAGGACTGACTTGTGTCTCTTCATTTGGCACCATTACGAAAACTTGTAACTGTCCAAGAATGTTCAGAAACAAATGCAGTTGGTTCATGTTTCCATCCCAGTATTACAGAAACAAAAGTACAAAGTTGCTGCTTAGCTGTGTTTTTAATAAAAATGTGGTAATTAGTTCAGGGGTTCCATTGCACTCTCACTCATGAGCCGTGACACAGGAGGACTTTCATTGGTACAGTGAGTCACAACGCTGCTCTTGCATGAGCAGACCGGCCACTAGTCCAGGGGATTTCCCCAGTGGACTGTGGTGGACTATGCTATTTCCCATGTACGTGTAGCTAACAAAATGCCAGAAGAAGAGGTAAACCCAACGTAAAAGCAAACAAAAAACAAATGAAACAAAGTTTGTTTGTTTTTTTAAAGCTTTTATAATTGAAGTTTAACAGATACCAAATGATAGGTGTGTTAGTACAAGTCTGTAACATCTATGTACAGCAACATCCATACCCATGGCAGAATCACAGCCTCAACAGGGCCTCTGGAGTCTTCAGTCACATCCATACCTTACAAGGCATGAGTGTTTTCTCCAGTCATAGACAACCACTTCCCAGACTCCACTTTTCACTTCTCTCTACTTCCTCATGCCCAGGTCCCATGGCACTAGGGCAGAAGGTTGTAGTATAAGAAGGGAGATGATAAGACTACCCTGTCACTATGACAACCAAGGAGGAGACTGGAGTGTTAATCCCAACAGTCAGACTGGGGAGCTACCTCTTTTCAGCAAGAGGAAGCAAAGATGAAGCCACAGTCTTAACTCTAAGCACTGAAGACGCCAACGCAGAAGACAGTGATCAGTGAGCGCCAATTCTCATAGCAAAGGATTTCATACGACTTAGAAAAGTCAGCATAACCTCAAGTATTCAGTTAAAAAAATGGTCAAAGTATAAAAAAATTAAGACACTGAAAGCTGAAACATAAGGTGACCAGGGTCATCTATGAAAACCACCCTCAGGCACACAGTGGGATGAGGCGCCCCTTCTGAGAAGCTCCTCACTTCAGACCACTTCCCATCATGGGTCCAACACCGCACTGTATTTGAGGCTGAGAACATCTGCTCTTGAACAATGGCTTCTGGATGGTGTGCTGATGCCCCCACAAAGGGAGCATGTCTCAGGCAGATAAAAAATTTAAAATCAAAATGACAAGCCTGCTTCTGATTCAGGCTTTTGACTTTCCTCCCATCAGGCTTTCACCCGGCTACACTACTGATATTCTCCCAGAGGCTGACCTGGCCCTCCACTGGATGGTTCATTCGGAAGGGAGACAGAACCTTCAGTCTCTGGGTGTTTTCTGTGTGGCAAGGAGGAACAGCACAATTCATTTTCTTTTAAAACTATTGTAGCTGACAAATTTGATTTCAAAATTGCCTGTGGTCCCAGACAGTATTAAGAACTATATAAATAATTACAACCACCTTTAAAAACAAATAGCAGTAGCTGCTTTGCTTTGTGAGCTATTCATAGCCAAAAAGAGGTCTGTCACAGGAACCCAATGGCTGGGACGCTACATGGAAGACACCAACTTTCCTAAAGTGTCCACCTTAGAGTGTCCTGGAATGAACCTCATGGCACATGAACGACACTTATATCAAAGCTCATCAGGACACAGGCACAGCGGGAGCTTTAGAGGGGCAGTGGGCGCTCCGCGCAGCACGTGGAAGGTAACAGCTCATGCTGATCTCGTGTGGCACTAACGTAACCCTGCCAGGTGACTGATGTGGTTTGTGGTGTACATCGAACAGCTTCTGGATGGTCTCTGGGCATATATAATTTTAGTAATCTCAAAAAAAGGCAACCTTTCAACTAGTAATCTTAGTTCAAAGCTAACCTGAGAGCTACTTGGGTTTCTTTTGGAGAGATATAAACATGTCAACATTGCTCAACTGGAACGTCTAGAGGTTTCCTAAGCAACAATGGCCTGATGTAGATAACATTAAGTACTCTTGTGAAAAATGCTAAAACTTATGTGGAAAAAGGAATGTTCCAGTAAGCTTCCATTGGGCAAAATACTCTTCATTAATGATACTTTCCAATTTAACACTAGTAGTTTGGTACATCTACCATAAATTGAACTTTTTTAAAAAAATATGTTATTTAACATTATATGACAATATACGTAGTATTTACAGTTTAAATAGAAACTTTCTTTTCAATAATCAAAATACATCCTTAGCAAAAATTTAGAATGCAAAATGTTATAAAATAAACAAGACCCCATAGAAAAGCTTTTTTAGTACCATTTCTGTCTTAGCCTAAATTAAGGGTTTTCCTTAAATCCTGATACCCTCTTAGACAAGCAGGGTTCCTCAGGTAAGAAGATCCCTCTTCCAGCAAGCAATTTACCTTGCTGATTTTGGTTGTTTTTTATAAAATGCTGATCCAAAAAGATTCCCCAGGATGGACACTACGACACCAATTGACAGAGCCTTTAAGAACTGTGCAGTGGGGTCTGTGGGCCAATGAACCAGGTCATTGTGAGTCTTTTCCGGATTCACTGCTGCAGCCTCTATGGTTACCAAGGTTTCATGCTGTAATTCACATTCGGGGGCTACCCAGATACCGCCTCACCTCACGGTGCTCAGCCTGGCTGATGAACAGTCAGCAGATAAACTGGCTTCCCAGGTCCATAGCGCCCAGCACAGCAGAGTGTGTATGAGCAAGATCTATAAGATCAGCCTAATACTGTGTGGGAATCGGGCCAGCAACAGGCCAGGAATCCAACTCAGTGAACACTTACAGTTTCTTCTCGTGTGGTTACTGTCCATCTTGAGGAAAATTCTTTTATTCATGTGGTTAAAGAGTAAGAAAGGAGTAGTGGTCAACTTTGCCCAAAACTAAAAGCTTCTGCATGAGTGTCTAGCTTTGTCCAGGTGCACCCGGCTCACAGCCCTTGACAGAAGTTTCTAGCAGAGGTATTTGCATGTTCTCAGCCACACCAAGTCTCAGATCACAAATGACGACTTGTGTCTGAAGTCACCCTGCAAAGCCAACACAAAGTTAGAGCCATCGAGGGACAAGTAGAGCAGCAAGAAGGGAAAATCCTAATCAAATCTAACACGGGCTAGGCTCTGTCCCTAACAAAAAAAGTGGGGCAAAACTATGAACAAATGAAATAACTCTTAAACAGGAACATCTACTGACACTTGCAAAGCATGAATCCCATTAGTGTGTACACAATACTGTCATCTGCCTATGGGGACCCCATGGTTTCCACAGAGGAACATGGTTTTCTCTGCTGTGTACACCTAGAATTTCAGGTTTCTTAAATGATTACCTCCTCCTCTGTCCTGATATAGTTAACTCCATCTGATTTCCCTGGGTTCTTGTAACTGTGAATAGGAGAAGACAACAGTTCAGTGCCATGGTTCTATCAGTGCCAGCTTGAACAGGGCTTTTTCATGGAAAGCAGGCTCACCTTTCTCCATCCTGTTTATTGTTGATGAAGTAGCCACGTCTGTATGCACAGCAGATCCCCAAAGTAATCAGGGCCAGTACAGCAAGGACAACCAAGACCCCACCAATAATACCGCCAATGTTCAGATCATCTGAAGAAAAGGAGGTTTCAGCAAAGAGACGATCCACACTGCTCTTATCAAAGACTCTGGCCCCTCGTGCCACCTCCTCACCCACACCTCATACCACTACAACCAGAAAAGCAAATTGAGAACATAGGCTAGATACCATAACCCTAACTTCCAGGTTAAAAGTACTGAGACTTCCACAGTTCAAATGCAGTTGAACTTAAAAGGGGCTTACATTAAAAGGGGCTTGGCATTTTCAGCCAAAAAATCCTCTGGCTAGGGCAGCACCTGTGGCTCAGTGGGTAGGGTACCAGCCCCACATACCAAGGGTGGCAGGTTCAAACCCAATCTCGGCCAAACTGCAACAAAAAAAGGGCCAGGCATTGTGGTGGGCGCCTGTAGTCCCAGCTACTTGGGAGGCTGAGACAGGAGAATCGCCCAGGAGTTGGAGGCTGCTGTGAACTGTATGACCACATGGGAATCTGCCCAAGGTGATAAAGTGCGACTCTGTCGCTACCAAAAAAAAAAAAAAAAAAAATCCTCTAGCTAAATGGCTGAGAATATTAATGGAGGAAATGGTTACAACAAGGACAGAATAAACCAGAGGATGCAGGAGGACTTGAGAGTCCTAAGGAAGAAAAAAATCCCTAATTCCCAAGGCCTTCCTTTGTTGTGGATTATTTAGAGGAAGAAAGCTAATTTTAAGCCTTCTTAAAAGTAAAAAATACTAGATAAGAACTTGACCTTTCACTTCACTGGCAACCTGGCCTCCTATCTAAGTCCTTTCGGAGGAAACTCTGGTATTCTTTTTTCCCATTTCTATGTTCTGGGCAAAAGCCCCAGGTCCACTTCAGGGTGAGGTGCTGCAGCTATTTACTGTATGCAAATAGAAATGCATAGAAAAATATGCTGGGAGTCCATCAACAAAAGCCAGTTACATGGGAGTTGTTAAACTTCTCCCTTACCCTAGGACTTGGTTCTCAAATCTGAGTATACACTTAATAATCATGTGAAATTTTGGTTTTTAAAATGTCGGTTCTTAACCCAACTATGAGAATGACATGAAGGCTACGTTGGCCAATTGCATGAGAGTATTTCAAATTGTACATGGAAACAACACACTGTACCCCATTATAGCATTAATGTGCACAACTATGATTTAATAAAAATAAATAAAACGTCAGTTGTCTTGGCTCGGCGCCTGTAGGTCAGTCATTAGGGCGCTGGCCACATACACAGGGGTTGGCAGGTTCGAACCTGGCCTGGGCCTGCTAAACACCAAGAACAACTACAACAAAAAAATAGATGGGCTTTGTGGCGGGCGCCTGTAGTCCCAGCTACGTGGGAGGCTGAGGCAAGAAAATCGCTTAAGCCCAAGAGTTTAAGGTTGCTGTGAGCTGTGACGCCACAGCACTCTACCAAGGGCAACATAATGAGATTCTGTCTCAAAAAAATAAAATACAATAATTAATTAATAATAAATAAAATGTCGGTTCTCAAGCTTCATTCCTAAAGATTCAATAGGTTTAGGGCCAACAAAGAAACAGTAACCAAAAAAAAAAAAAAAAAAAAAAAAGAAAGAAAGAAAAAACCTTCAGGAAGAAACAACCCTAAAGCAGTTTTCCACACTGAATGAGAAGAATCCTCTAGAGTGGTCCCAAATGAAGCTTATCAGCAAGTAATTTTTTTGAGATGGAGTCTTGCTATTGCCCAGGCTGGACTTGAACTCCTGGCCTCAAGCAATCCCCCTACCTCACCCTCCAAAGCAGCTGGGATTACAGGCAGGAGTCGCCATACCCACCTTTATGAGGCCGTTTTGGAAAACACTGCTCTGGAGGTGGCTACAAACAGGAAGGAGGGATTCAAGAAGACCCCCAAACGTTTTGTACACATCCCATCTGCCCCCATGCTGCCCTCAACACCTCCCTGAGAGAAGCAGTCCTCCCAGATAGTATCATCAGAGAACAGGGAAAAACACTGGGCTGAAGCTCTTTCAGTTTCCTACAAAATGGGTATGACTGGGTACGTTTCTAGAGGTCTCACACCACCTTTTATTTTGATAATTCTACCAATTACCAAAGAAATAAAGTTTGTTAAGCATGTTGTGACAGTTACGTGACTGGCAATGTTTTCAACAGCAGAAGGCCCTAAAAAGTCCACTTTGGGGACCCACTCATCTAGACTCCGAGGGTTCTCGTCCATCCCTTCCATGTCCAGTGGACTTTAGTGGATACAGTCACAGCTCCACAATAAAGCTGACATGGCAGAACAGCTGTCTAAACTGACAGTCTAATGTTAAATTTAAAATCCTCTATTCACTTCCCCGTCTTCAGACGAAATCTTTTCAGAAAGTAACTCACAGACTTCCATCTCCTGCTCCGCACACCTGGCAGAGCCTGCGTCATTGGAAGCAATACAGTAATACTGTCCCGAGTCCTCCTTGTGAACAGCACTGAAAACCTGTTTCAGGGAACAAGTGAACATCAATCACCAGGCAGACCTCTGAGGGACCAGACAGAGCTGGCCAGGCCAGAGCCTGCTGAGTCCAGCAGGGGGTCACACGACCCACCCCGTGTCTCCTTTTGGTTTCCTACGGCCTCCCAGGCACTGTGCGGGTTCCTTCCTGACAAGCTTCCCTGACACTTTCGCCTGAGGGTTCCCCAGTCAAGACACCAACACCTCACAAGGAGTAGAACTTTACTTTTATTCTAGTAAAGGAACTGATGGTAACTGTTCCTCAGGGAACATTTTGGCAAAACAAATATGGAAGATCCTGCTGCAATCTGCCTGGTAACTACACGTAGTTGGATACGCCAGACCCACAAAGCACCTCCCAAAAGAGAACTCTACAGGGTGAAAGCCTGGTGTCACCTGCTGTGAGGTCAGTCCATCCTCCACGCAGGACCAATGTGTTTCCTCTTCCCCCACCACCACTGCTTAGTTACGAAACAAATTCCAGACACTTTATACATAAATACTTCAGGGTGAATCTCTAGAAGGTAAGGACCCTTAAAAACCATTATCCCATTATTATGCCCACAACAACCAGCAATTGCTTAATATCAAATATCCCAGTAAGAATCAAATTTCCTTTATTGCCTCATAATGCTTTTGATAGTAGGTGACCCACATCAGGCCCCTCCTGATCCACTGTTAACATCTGTTTAACATCCCTCCCGTCTCTTTAATCTACAGGTCTCTCCTTTATTTTACTCCCTTCAAATCTACTTACTTATGAAAGGAGGAAGTCATTTTTCTTCTTTCATCTCCAGCACTCTGGAGAGTCAAGCTTTTGTCTTAAGAGTTTCACTCTCTCTTAATAACTATTCTTTCCATAGTAAGCATACCTTGCCCCAACAAAGACATCTCCATCTTCACTTCCTAGAAGAGATCTTACCAGAGTGCCTGTTTCAGAGTTTAAGAGAAACGAGGAATTTCGAAATCTGGGATTGGCTCTGGAATCTGTTGGCAGCGGCACGTCGTTGCGATACCAGCTGTAGTGAGGCCGCGGGGAGCCCTCGCTCTCCTGGCAGTGCAGCGTTGCTGTCTTGCCTACGGGTACGGCCTTCGGTACCCTGCATGTTGGGGTAACTGGCTTCACTGTAGGAAAACAGGTTGGTATTTAAGACCTCAGCAACATGGCTCTATTTTTGTCAAAGCCCACCAGAACTCAGCTCTGAAGACCAGAAAGCCAGCCAAGGGCTCTCGCACCACAGTCGCCATGGCACATGCGCAGACTGATCAGCCACCACTGCACCCTGCCCTCCAGCCCATCCCACGCAGGTGCCACCCCACAGGCCCTTCTCACCCTTTCCACCTCCAGGCGGGAGCTGTGGAAGAGGCAGGGACTATGTTATAGCACCTCCTTTACCTGGAGGGACGTAGCTTCTCCACCCACCTCCCGCCCCAATTCCTCTCACCTCCTTCCCCAACTCTGCACTCTCAGATTTCAAGTTTGCCCTCCCTAAATCGTGTGCTACCCTCAGGGATACACCCCTGGAAGAAAAGAAATCAAAAGAAATTGATCTCTTTTATTCTCCAGACAGAAACTCACGAGGCCTGAAAGGGGCAAAATGTTTTTCCTTCACGAGTTCCTACCTTGCACAATTAACTGAATGACAATTTCATCTATTTCTTTGCGATCATTTCGAGCAACCACCTCACAGCGATAGAGGGCTGAGTCTCTCCGTGTCACATTCCAGATCTTCAGGGAAGTTTTCCCCAAAAGTTCTGCACGACCTGCCAAGTCTCCTGTAGAAAAGAAGCCAAGGGGCACTAAAAACTCCTTTAAAGATTTCTCTGCCCCCTGGAGAGGATGGTTTTGGAAACCAGAATTTGATGCCATTGTAAGAAGACTGCAAATTGGTTTATGTTTCTATTTCCAAATAACAGAAGTGAACTCCCTGAGGACAGGAGCCGTGACTTCTCCTATTTATAACCTGAGCATCAAAAATAGTCCCTGGTGTCTAAGAGGCACTCGTTACATGTTACATGTGTCTCTCTTGGTCAAGCCAGGAACCTCATTCTCATCACTTCCAGAAGGGATTTCCCATTAAAAGAAAAAATAAACAACATTAGAAAAGTAACTAAAATTCCACAAATGATACCAGGACAATTGGATGTCCACATGCAAATGAATGAAGTTTGACCTCTACCTCACTCCATATGCAACAAAGACCAAATGTCAGAGTTAAAACTAAAACTTTTTCTTTTTTTGAGACAGAGCCTCAAGCTATCCCCCTGGGTAGAGTGCCATGGCTTCACTGCTCACAGCAACCTCCAACTCCTGGGCTCAAGCGAGTCTCTTGCCTCCGCCTCCCAAGTAGCTGGGACCACAGGCGCCCGCCACAACGCCTGGCCATTTTTTGGTTGCAGCCATCATTGTTGTTTGGCGGGCCCGGGCTGGGGATTTGAACCCGCCACCCTAGGTGTATGTGGCTGGTGCCTTAGCTGCTTGAGCCACAGGCACCGAGCCACAAAACTAAACTTTTTGGAAAAAAAAATGACAAATACTCTGGATCTTGTATTGAGCAAAGGTTTTTTAGATATGATACCAAAAGCACAAGTACACACAAAAAAATTATATTGGACTTCAACAAAACTAAAAGCATGCTTCAAAGGACAAAAGTAGGTGAAAAGACAACCCCCAGAATGGGAGAAGACATTTGCAAATCACAATCTAACCAAGGACTAGTGTCCAGAAAACACAGAGTTTATAACTCAATAACAAAAAGATACATAACCTAACTTAAAAAGGAATAGAAGATTTGAGAATAGACATCTTTCCAAAGAAAATATAGAAGTCATCAATAAGCACATTAAAAGAGGATAAAATGACAACCACACTGAGAATAAGCCGGGCATCATGGCCTGCAGTCACAGCTACCTGGGGGGCTGAGGCAAGAGGACTGTGTGAACCCAGGACTGGAGCTTTGTGTGAGCTAGGCTGACACCACGGCACTCGACCCAGGGTGACAGAGTGAGACTCTGTCTCAAAAAAATAAAACAAAATAAACACTGAGAAACCACTTCATAGCCACTTGGATGTCTAGGTCCAAAAATAGTCAGACAATGTCAAGTGCTGGTGAGGACGTGGGGAATGTACTGCCGGTAAGAGCATAAAATGGTGAAACAGCTTTGGAAAATACTTGTTAGTTTCTTAAGAAATTAAACATGCAACTACCCTAAGACCCAGAAATTGTACTCTTGTTCATTTATCTCAGAGAAATGAAAACATATGTTATATAAAAACCTGTACACAGCCTAATTGATAATAGCCAAAAAGGAGAATGATCCATGTGCACGTGAACTGAAGTTGGCCTGTCTACAAGTCAGCATTATCCAGCTATAGAAGGGAATGGAGGACTGACATATGGTACAACACAGATCAACTCCAAGAACATTATGCTAGGAGAGAGAAACCAGCCACAGAAGATGGCAGGCTTCCATCATATGAAGTGTCCTCAACAGGCAAGTTCCCAGGAATAGATAGTAGACTAAGGGTTGCTAGGGCTGGAAGGAGGGAATTAATGGGTATGGGTTTCCTTTTGGGCTGATAAAATGTTCTGGAATCTGACAGTAGTGATGCTTTCACAACCACATCAATACACTAACAGCCACTGCATTTTACATTTAAAGGGTGATAATTATGCTGGATGAATTATAAAAACAATTTAAAGCATAAACAGACATAGTAAGTCTTTCAAAGAAGCATGAAAAACCTGGAAAACAAATAGAGGAAGGAGTTAGGAGAAAAATGACACAAAAAAGTAGAAATTATTTATTATTAAACCAGACAACTAGTGACAAGTATATGCAGGATTTACCATAACAAAAACAGGAGGATGCTCTTACAATAGGGAGTAACCATTTTTACTAAGAAGGTTTGTTACCCAGTCCTCATTAGAGGATTAGAACTTTTACCATGTAAAATACAGTAAATGCAAATTCGCTGGGGCACTTGCAGTATAGTCCTACACTGAGACAACAGCAGAGACCCAGGAGATCCAAGTTGCCCTTCAGCCTTCTTATTCTGTGGGGTAAACACCACCCCTCATACTCCTCATGCCCGCAGATACAAGTAAAATGTTTAATCCCCCAAAAGAAAGTTCTTTAAAGAATTTCTCACTTGGTTTCTCTGGTGATCTAAACTGAATGTACAGGTTTAGCAGGGTCAGCCTGAATGGCCGAAGAAAACGGATTTGTTTTCTGACAATAACATTTCCTTTTCTTTCAAAAACAAACAGAAAAAAAAGATGTGAAGAACAGACTTCATATTAGTGGGAAAACAAAACTTTTTTTTTTATTGAATCAGAAAGAATTTTTTTTTTTTTTTTTTTTTTTGACAGAGCCTCAAGCTGTCGCCCTGGGTAGAGTGTCATGGCATCACAGCTCACAGCAACCTCCAACTCCTGGGCTTAAGCGATTCTCTTGCCTCAGCCTCCCAAGTACCTGGGACTACAGGCGCCCACCACAACACCCAGCTATTATTTGGTTGTAGTTGTCATTATTTTTTGGCAGGCTTGGGCTGGATTCAAACACACCAGCTCTGGTGTATGTGGCTGGTTCCCTAGTCGCTGGGCTACAGGCGCAGAGCCAAAACTATTTTTAAGATCCACTGACTCGGCTCGGCGCCTGTGGCTCAAGTGGCTAAGGCGCCAGCCACATACACCTAAGGTGGCGGGTTCAAATCCCCAGCCCGGGCCCGCCAAACAACAATGATGGCTGCAACCAAAAATGGCCAGGCGTTGTGGCGGGCGCCTGTAGTCCCAGCTACTTGGGAGGCGGAGGCAGGAGACTCACTTGAGCCCAGGAGTTGGAGGTTGCTGTGAGCATGATGCCATGGCACTCTACCCAGGGGGATAGCTTGAGGCTCCATCTCAAAAAAAAAAAAGATCCACTGACTCCTGATGATACAGAAAACCCCAAGGAGAAAGACTGTAGTTCAGGCTATTCCCACAGACTTTCTCAGCTTCTTGAACATTCCTATGAATGTACCTGCATTTGTACCTATTTGTTTCTTCCCTCCTGTCGGGAGGGCAACGTCCTCCCCCAACCCATCAAAGCTGAGTCCTAGCACTTCTCCTTCACAGCTCAGGCCAACATCAGCTCCTCCTGGGTTGTGCAAAAAAACTCTGATGTGGTATCTCTGAGTTTTGCCATCCCCAACCTCTCCTCTGCAAAGCAGCCACTTGAGTCTTATGAAGAGCAGATGTGACAGGGCACTTCCTCTCAGGCCCTCTCAGCAGACCTTCAGATACCACCCACGCTTGCTGGGCATTCGGTGCTGCTGCGTGGCCGGGCGACCTCCCCAGACTCATCTCCCCCAGTCCACGCCCCTGCAGTGGTGGGGAACACGAAGCCTCTGCCCCAGCCAGGAATGCTTCCGCCCTTTCACACACAGCAGTCCCTCTGGCCATCTCCTCCCTCCGTACTGCGGCCACTGACAGTTTCACCCAGCTACCCTGCCACCCTTCACACTCTGACCCAGAGGCCACCTGGTCCCTGACCACTGTCCTCTCCCACTTGGCATCACCCTAGCACCTGTGCTTTCTCCCCATGGGGCATCCCCAGCACCATGCCTGGGACACAGTGGGAGGCTCAGGAAATCCACTCCCTCCTTGCTGTTACACAAGATCCTTCTGACAAATTCACTTATATCACTCAAGCAAGGGATTATGATGAGAAGATGGCCAGGAAAATGTCCACTTTTCCTCAAAAAGATGAGTTGTAAACAGATTAAAATCCTGACAAATTGATATTTGTTGCAGCCGAGTAACAGGTACAGGAAAGCTCAATATGCTATTCTCACTACTTTTGCATATGTCAGAAATTTTCCATAATAACAAATTTTTTTAAAATCCTGACTACAGGCTCGGCACTTGTAGCACAGTGGCTACGAACCTGGCCGGGCCAGCCAAACAATAATGACAACTGCAACAACAAAAAAAAAATAGCGGGTTCTGGGTTCCCACACCATAAAAAGAAAATGCAGCTAAGTAGCTCAAGCAGCTCCGGTGTCAGCCACATAACACCAGAGCTGGTGGGTTCAAATCCAGCCCAGGCCTACCAAACGACAAACTACACCCAAAAAATAGCCAGGTGTTGTGGCAAGTGCCTGTAGTCCCAGCTACTGGGGAGGCTGAAGCAAGAGAATCACTTAAGCCCAAGAGTTTGATGTTGCTGTGAGCTGTGACGCCATGGCACCCTACCAAGTGCAACACAGTGAGACTGTGTCTCAAAAAAAAAAAAAAATGCTGGCTACAGATACAGGTTACCAGTCTCAGGTAAATTTCTGGTCAAAAGGTATTCCAACACATGTGGACAAAGAAGAAAGGACCGTAGGATCATACCCTGAATTTTGTTGTCAAAAAACACATATGTGGTTTGGTCATCTTGAATTTTCTTCCATTCAATCCTAGGGTCATTTGTCTGCGAATCCGTAATGATACAAGACAGTTCCACACCTACCGAGCAAAGGAAAAAAAGAACTCTCAGTGACCATGGAACGCTTCTAGGTTCACTTATATACCCAGACCTTGCAAGCTAGCTCTAGTTTCAGAACACCTTCCATGCAGGTTAAAGCCTAGCCCCCTCCGAGTTCCAAGACTCTGAGAAAAGATGAGTTTTCACCAAAAAACAAACAGTAGCAAAGATTTTACTACATACAATACTCCCTTCAGTAAATACTCTGCTTGTACATAAAAATTGTCTTTGTTGCGTAATCACAACACCAGGGAAGAATCAGATGTCAGCATGGAGTTGTGGGCTGGCCTGCCAGTGAGGCACCTGGTGCACTGCTCAGTAAGCAGCAGCCAGGAGCATCTCCTGGGCACAACCAGAAACGTGTCCTGAGCTGGCAGCAAGACCACCAAATGTCCACTAGGTGGTGCACACTGCCCTCTTTGTGTCTCCCTCCTACTTACTTTGAAATTCCTGTACTACTGGGTTTCGGTTGCTAGACTTGAGATTCACCGCCTCTATCAAGCAGCCTGAAGGAAAGAAAAAAAGTAAAATCAGAGACAATGCATCTCTAAAACAGCAGACAAACCTTGGACTGAGGTCGGGTGTTTCCCTTCTAAGTAGGTTACATATAGTCGCTAACCACAGCGGATGGAAGTGGTTACGATAAAGTCTCTGAGGTACAGCAAGTTGACTACTTTCTCTCTCAATTTGACCTTCACTGGAAGGAACAAAGAAAAAGAAAGAGTTCTGAGAATTCATTCTCCTTCTCAGTTTCAGAACCACCCTCCTAGAGCTTTAAAGCTTTTTCTCAAAGCATTTCCTTTCTTAGTCCTCATTAACCCTTGACACCCCTCCCCAGACCCTCATGGCTGCCTTCTGCCATTCCTCCTTCCTGCCTCCACTCTCCCCAGGCTTCCAATCCTGCCAAGGTGCCACTTGGCCACACACTCCCCTTCAAGGACATCACACTCTCTGGGCATAGTTATCCCACCTCGCTGTATTAGCATCTAACCCAGTGGTTCCAGTCCATGAAGAGTTTTCACTAGTCTTTGGGGAAGTGAGAAAAGTAGTAATAACCAATGATTTTCATGAAGCTAAAATCTTATCTTTTATCTTACTGAAGAAATCAAGATATGCTACTTGGGCTCGGCGCCTATAGCTCAACAGGCTAAGGCACCAGCCACGTACACCTAAGGTGGCGGGTTCGAATCCCCAGCCCAGACCCGCCAAACAACAATGACGGCTGCAACCAAAAAATAGCCGGGCATTGTGGCGGGCGCCTGTAGTCCCAGCTACTTGGGAGGCTGAGGCAGGAGACTCGCTTGAGCCCAGGAGTTGGAGGTTGCTGTGAGCTGTAATGCCACAGCACTCTACCCAGGGGGACAGCTTGAAGCTCTGTCTCAAAAAAAAAAAAAGATATGTACTTATATAGCATCCCTTTCCAACCAATTATCTGACTCCCCCATGTGTTTTGGCAAAAATTAGAAACCAGTTTATCGTGGTCTTAAAATTTCTCAACTAATGCTTTTGGAAGGAAAATCAAATAGCTCCATGGACTGCATACAAAATGTCATTCTTGGCTCAGCGCCTGTGGCTCAAGTGGCTAAAGTACCAGCCACATACACCTGAGCTGGTGGGTTCAAATCCAGTCCAGGCCCACCAGAAACAATGATGGCTGCAACCAAAAAATAACCAGGCACTGTGGCGGGCGCCTGTAGTCCCAGCTATGTGGGAGGCTGAGGTGGGAGACTCGCTTGAGCCCAGGAGTTGGAGGTTGCTGTAAGCTGTGTTGCCACAGCATTCTGCCCAGGGCGACAGCTTGAGGCTCTGTCTCCAAAAAAAAAAAAATGTCATTCTTAAACTACCTGGCCTGTAATATGCTACCCCCAAAGAAAGCAGGACACCCTATGAGGGAGGGTCTCTGAGTCTTGCTTACTGTAGCAACTAAGGACTCAGTGCTCCAGGCAGCTGCCCAACCCCTTGCACAACAGGGAGCCTACTGGCCACAGCAATCTGTTCTCCTTTCTTTATTTAATCGTCTATCTACACGTATCCATGCTAAGGACACACTGATTCTTTCTTTCTAAATAGTCACTGATTCTAGCAAAAGCCTTAAGGAATCTAATAAAAAGGGGTAGAAAACAGATGTACCATATGCCCAAACTGCTTATTTTTTTTTTTTTTAAGAAACAGTCTCATTTTGTTGCCCTCAGTACAGTACTGTAGCGTCACAGCTCACAGCAAACTCCAGCTCCTGGGCTTCGGCGATTCTCTTGCCTCAGCCTCCCGAGGAGCTGTGACTACAGGCACCTGCCACAATGCCCAGCTATTTTTTTGTTGCAGTTTGGCTGGGGCCGGGTTTGAACCCACTACCCTCAGTATATGGGGCCGGCGCCCTGCTCACTGAGCCACAGGCACTGCCCCGAACTGCTTAATTTTTAAAACACTTGCTTCTATAAAAGGCTGTGGAACCAGGACAAGCAAAGATGATTTTACTTTGTTTCAGGTAACAATGAGATATTCCTTGCAGAGGCCAGAAATACACCCCATGCACGTGCAGCACTTTCTGCCTCACTTTCAAACTGAAAGCTCCCAGTGACCCATTAATAAAGAATAACAGGTCAGTCTGGGTGGCTCAAGCCTTTGGGAGGCCAAAGTGGGAGGACTGCTTGAGGCCAGGAGTTTAAGACTAGCGTGAGCAACATAGCAAAACCCAGTCTCTACAAAAAACAGAAAAAAAAAAAAAAATTAGCCAGGCATGGTGGCATGTGCCTGTGGTCCAGGGGCTAAGGTGGGAGGATCACCTGAGCCCACAAGTTAGAGGCTACAGTGAGCTATGAATAGCACTCTAGCCTGGACAACAGCATGAGAGTTTGCCTTAAAAAAACAATGCTAGTACACAAATGTCTAGTATACTCTTCTAAGTTAAAAACAAATAAAAAAAACTAAAAAGAAAGCTTTTCTGTGATGAACTGGTGTAACCACTCTGGAAAAGTTGTCAGTTTCTTTTAAAAAAGTAAACATGCAATTCCCATATGACCCAGCGATTGTACACTTGGGCATCTATCCCATAAAAAAGGAAAATCAGATTCACGCAAAAACCTATACACAATACTCACAGCAGTGTTAATAATCCCAAACTAGAACACTGCACGCTCTTCTCACTTCCATTCTTACTCCTTGCTCAGAATTACATCTAAGAAGTCATACATAATTATTCTTTCTCTTATACAGGCAAGAGGAAGAATCATCAAGTCTCAATCTTTTACCGACCCTGTGCCCTTGGGCCATGACCTTCACCAGTGCTTCTCAGCCTCCACCTTTTAGGTGGGACAGATGGCTAGAGGGGACTGGCGTTGGGTATTCCTCTCCCGCAGGTCAGTATCAGGCTCTGAAAAAATCCCAGTAAGTTAAGCACTGGCTACAAAACTCTCCTTCCCCTGCCAGAAGCATGAGGGCACTTCTGTTTCACCATCATCATGAAGGCCTAGTAGAGCTCCTGGAGGCCAAACTCAGAAGAGTCTGGTGGAGGTGGGGGGCTCTCCTAAGACTGGGCCCCCAAGACTTTTTAACTCTCAGATTTATGAGGCCTCCAGTGATGTATCATTACAGGTTAGGTCCTGCTCTGGTGCTGTCACTGCAGAGGTTTATGTGCTGGTACACTGGGATTCTCTGTATCTACCTGTGTCTCTCCCCAATTCAGGAGCAATATCTGACCTATGACCTCAATTCTCTAACATATTAAGAAGATAATTTTCAAGTTGTTCTGCTTTTTACTCAACAAGAAACAAGAAGGTCTGGAGGGGTGGCTCACACCTGTAATCCTACTACTCTGGGAAGTGAAGGCAGGCGGATTGCTTGAGCTCAAGAGTTTAAGACCAGCCTGAACAAGAGCAACACCTTATCTCTAAAAAATAGCCTGGCATTGTGGTAGGCACCTGTTGTCCCAGCTACTCAGGAGGCTGAGGCAAGAGGATTGCTTGAACCCAAGATTTGAGGTGGCTGTGAACTAGGATGCCATGACACTCCATAGGTACCAAAGTGAGACTGTCTCAGAAAAAAATAAACAACAACAACTAGTAAAACAACATTAAGATGAAATGAGGACTATTTATTTGTTTTGGGTTTTTTTGAGATCGTCTCACTTTGTCCTCCTTGGTAGAGTGCTGTGTTGTCACAGCTCACAGCAAACTCCAACTATTGGGCTCAAACAATCCTCTTGCCTCAGTCCCCCCAATAGCTGGGACTACAGGCTCACGCCATGACACTAGGCTATTTTTAGAGACAGGGTCCTGCTCTTGCTCAGGCTGGTCATACTTCTGAACTCAAGAAGGCTAGGATTACAGGTGTGGGCCACCGCACCCAGCCTCAGAAGTGAGGACTATTAAATTCCTTGCCTGTCAGACTTAGAATCAGAAATTCTGTGTCGCTTTTGCATTCTGCAGAACTTTACTGAGCTTACTTATTTGTTCTAATATATTTTTTCATGGTTTCTACACATAAGATCACACCATTTGCAAACAGATAATTTTACTTCTTCCTTTCCAATTTTGATCTCTTTTTTTGTTCCTTTTTCTTGCCAAATTGCTCTGGCTAGAAATTCTAATACTGTGGTGCATGGAAGTGGTATAAGTAGGTACTTCTGTCTTGTTCCTGATTGTAGGGGAAATTTCCGTCTTTCACTACTGAGCATGAAGTCAGCGGTAGGTTCTTCATAGATGCCCTTTATCTTGTTCAGGAAGTTCTTTCCATTCTTAGTTTACTGAATATATTTTACCACGAAAGGACGTTACAAGCATTTGGTCAAATGCTTTTTCTCCATTAAACGGGATGATTTGTGGTTTTGTCTCTCTTCATTATTAGAAGGCATAATTGGTTTTCATGTGTTTCAGAAATAAATCCCACATGTCATGGTATTTAACCCATTTTTATTTAAAGTAATTACTGATAAAGACTTACTTCTATCATTTTGCCATTTGTATTTGTTTCAGTACGTCTTACATAATTTTATTTGTACTTCACTCCTTCCATTAATGTGTTTAGTTGATGTTTTGGGATCTTGATCCCCCTCTCATTGTTTTTAATGCATGCACACTCTGGATATTTTCTTTGTGATTACCATGGGGATTATAACATCTCAATTTTAATTGATACTACATAAAGGTAATTGTATACAAAAACTACTCCATCTCTCCCTCCTTAGGTTACTGACGTCATAAATTACATCTATATATACTGTATACCAAATAACCTAGATTAGTATTTTTGTGCATTTGTCTTTTAATTCCAGTAGAAAATTAGAAGTACAGTTATAAAGCAACATTGTCTTAGTAGTAATTCATATAATTACCTTTACTGGAGATCTTAACATCTTCATACAGCTTCAAATTACTGTCTAGCATGCTTTCATTTCAATCTGATGGTATCCCTTTCAAATCTCCTTTAGAGGGCGAGTGGTAATGAATTCCCCCAGCTTTTGTTAAGCTGGCGATGTCTTAGTTTCTGCTTAGTATCACGACAGTTTTGC